AATTTTTATGCGTCGCAGTAAACTGCAATGTTGGTTACACATAAGAATCGTAAACCGAGTCCGTGTAAATACATAACTATTTTTATGTGACATTCCTTGATCACGATTCGGCTTCAATAGCGGAGGCGTGCTGGGGACGCGATACCGGGGCTTAGCTCTGCGTGTGTTTACTGTTTTTATAGCTGGCTCGGGCACTGTAATTATCATAATGAAATTATGACGCCCTAGATTTATATTGGCCGCTCGCGAAGTTCTATACTTAATACTCAATGTTTATAGCATTTACTTAAATTTCTTATTAATACAGAGTAATACTACGAAGACTACAAATAATATGGAACTCAAAATAGGTCAAATATAGTAAAAATACTAAATAAGCGATATAAAATCGTAGTTAATTTTCAAAAAAAAGCAGTTTAGTGAAGACATATTGTGGTAATCCCATTACTGATACCCGCTTGACACATATTCGTAATTCAGAGCTTGATCAATCCTTGTCCGTTACATTATACAATCAACTAAGACTGATCTGATAAACAACTACTTTTAAGTATTATCATTATGACGAAAACATTTTCCTTATGTTCCATGGAATATTATATGACGATTGATTTGTTTACAGAGGGCGCACATCTTTTACTGAACTATCGTGCGATACTGTTGTGCGATTGTCGATTGTTTCGCAGTTAATTCAACTGTTCAGTTGTACAATTAAAAATCTAATAGACTAAACAGTTCTGCGATAGTTTAGTCAAAGTTGTGCGCGCGTTTTTAGTGTGGGCGACTGTTACTCGAATTGTAGCATTAATGAAAAGCGTATCTTATTTTGTTAGAAATTGTATAATGAAAATCTTAATCATAATCATCAAGTATATTAGAGAAACCAGAGTTCATTTGAACGGATCGATTTTACGCCTTGTCTATGTGGCATACGATTTGAAATGCTACATAATTCTTCATTCGCCTCATTTACAACTGACAAATTAAATGGAGGCATTTCATTTTGTGTCCTTAATGAGACAAGCCATGAACTCCCTATGCTTTTCACTCTATGAAGTTTTATTTTTATTTTATTTAATAACACGATAGCATGTTACAAGGCTACTTGAAATAACCATGTCAATGTTCAGGCATGCACAAACTATTCTATCAAGATACATTTAGTTGTTATAACGTAGGATTCAGTCCACGAACTTTTACAATTTCAAATTAAATCCGTCGCTAAATTGATTACATCGTCGCTTGGTTTCATAATCAATACAAGCGGAAAACGGCATGATATTGGATGTTCTGTGTAATTATTTCAAATACTGATACATGAATTGAGTCTTAATTTCTAACGTAGCTAATACTTATGACGATTAATTCTAATATGTTTTGCATGAAAAATATATTAACTCTTTTCATTCCATATTCCATTGCGTGACTTTTCCCAGTGATGTTTACTTTGATAGCATGGGTGTGGTTTTCGTACATTTCGTGCAATACCACAACTATCATAAAATATAATTTCCGTTAGTAACAAATCATTAGATTTACTATTGTACCTTGACTTATAATTACATTAGTTGACGTTTATTAAAAGACAAGGGGACT